GTCCTTGATGATAAAGGACTGAACCTCTGAACCTTTAAGCCAGCCTCAATTAAATGTGATCTGTTGTGGATGGTCCTGATGTTGCTTGTATTTTGATGCTAATTTCACTTCCCAGGGAGGGGCTGCCAATGAGGAATGAGTGATACTCAGGCGACTTCTTGTGAACCATCCCCTAATGAATAAAGGAGCCAATCACTGATCGAGTAGGTGGGACTTCTGGGTTGGAGAGGGGAAGAGAGGAGGTGTGGGGACAAAAAATTAAAATACCTCAGCAGAACCCACCAGACCACCAACAATTTGCTGAAAATAGCCAAAACAAAAATAACAAGTTCCTCCTAGGGCAGAGTGACCACGAATATAGGAACAACCAAGGACAGGCCTTGACAAGTCTAAACATGCCCAATTGAAAAATGGGCCATCTGGTGTTTTTCTTCACCTATCGGGAGGTCTGAGGTTTATTGGCCAAAAATACTGAGTCATCATGACCACCAAGAAAAGCTTGCTATGCCCGCCAAAATGATAACTTACACCTATTGCTGATGTTTAAAATATCCAATCAAATGTAACCGCGCCAAAGTTTCCCGCTCTCCCCTTCCCCCTGCGCCACTTCCTATAAAAATCTCAAACTGTCAGAGATGGGGGTCGAAATCCTTCCCTTGCATGGAATGTGTTTCCTGACCTGAGGGCCCCTCGCCAGTAAACTACCTTTTGCTATTTTGCATCAAGCCGGTCTCCGTGTTTCCTTGGATGCTTGCAACTCCGGATGAGAGTAGGGACTCCCCTCGGGGGTCCCTTACAGAGGCAGGAGAGAGATAAGGGCTTTTTGGACAGGGATAGTGAAAGGACAAGATGTAGCTACAAGTGTCTCCCAGTTTCAATGGTGGATCTGCCAGGATTCGCCACCAAAAGATTTAGATTTATTATGGTTTACAAGATTAGGATTCTAGTTGTTGTGCCCAGTGATTGAGTTACTCTTGTTTCTGACCTAAATTTGTGTTGTGTTTTCCTTCATTCGGAGGCTTGTCTGGGTTCCAGAGAGAAAGGTACAGTGGCAAAGTGTGGGTTTGCACCACGAAAGGCTGTGGGGGTTTTGAATCACGGGGCTGGTATGGTAGCGACCCGCCAGTGGGAACTTAGCAAGCTGAGTGGAGAGCTTTTGGAGCTCTGAGTCAGAGTCTCCATGAGATAAGAATTGGCCAGCAAGACTGCTGGGGCTAAGAGTAGCTGGGTGTAGCGGGAAATTGGTGCCACCTTAATATTTCCTGCAACAGTTGTTCTTATAAGAGTTGCCTTAGTCATGGTGTTTCTTCACAGCAGTAAAACCCTAAGACACTTGGGAAGTGGAAGCAGGAGAACCAGATGTTCAAGGTTATCCTCAAATCACAGTGAGTTCTGAGCTATCCTGGGCTACAGGTGACCCTTTATGGAACAAACAAAGTAGCCTCTCTCCATAAAAATTGAGAAAGAAACAAGACAAGATGCAGGATGAAATAAGTTCGGGAACTGCAGAAAGTACAAAGCTGGGGTTGCTTTACCCTCACATCAGCCAGCCACATCTGTGCTCTTGGCAGATCTTGGAGAGAGAGTCTTAGTCTTTCCCCAGTATCCCAGCTTTCCTGAGTACATGGCTGTCATTTCTGTAGGCTCTATTCTTTTCCTCATTAACATCCCTAGTCAGGGTTCCAGGACCAAGGCAAGAAGGTTGCACAAGGACAGAGGAGTTGTTAGTATCAGGTCAATGTAAGGTTACATAATGAGATCCTGCCACAAAATACTAAGGGCTGTGGGTGTAACTTAGGGGTAGAATATTTGCCCAGCACATGAAAGGCCCTGGGTTCCATCCCCAACACTACAGATCCATCAACAGAAAGAAGCCTTGTTGTTTTAATTTACCTGAAGCACTATGTGCCAGACCTCTGTCCCAAGAAAGAGCAATGGAGTGTCCTTATGAGTCCATGTTCAAGGACACCCTACCGTACCACTCAGTCTGTATTCCAGGAGCTGATGATGGAACCTACCTGGCTAGGGTGGTTCCGAAATGAACCAGCAAACATGGCTGGTTGACAGGATGGGGGAGTGTCTAGTAGAGAGAATGTAGCCAGCTCTCACTGCCTCTCTGCTAGGCAGGATTCCTTGGCTCAGCTCTTTCAAGACATTGCCTCCTGAGGCTTGGTACACACTGTATGAAGCTTGCCTCTGACATTCTGAGAGGGCATGGGAATGGGTGGTAGGAAGGACATTCCTGTCAGTCTGGGCTCCTCAGTGTACTTCTGAGGAAAGGGCAGAAGTCAGAGATCCCCATACCATTGGAAACTATACAGTTTGGCTGAATGTAGTCAGTAAACTGAATCAGAGAAGGATTAAATGAGAAGATATGGTATTTTGGCCCTTGTTCCCATCTATACCATTTTCCCCAAAGTCTCTTGTCCCTGTCTCCTCCATCTCCCTCTTCTCTCCTTCCATCGCTCACTCTCACTTTGATTGGATGGTAGGCCTCAGCTAGAATTGGCCAACATTGAACTTATATTGATATAACCTTAAGAGATTGAGGACCATTGGAGGTGTCCTGCCCCCAGCTGGTTTTGACTGGTAATAAAGAATTGCCATCCAGCCAATGGCTGGGCAGGGAGACAGAGGCAGGACTTTTAGACTATGGGCAAGGGACTTAGGAGAGTGGGAAAGGAACAGAAAAACCACCATGACCTAGAGGCAGAGGGATCAGACTTAAGAGCTGCAGGAGACTAGTGTTCACATCCCTGAGCCTATGGGAGACATTCTCATTCAAACCACTACAACCTGAGTCACTGCAAATCAGCAGAAAGGGGCTTTGTTTTCCTAATTTACTTGGGAAATTGTACCCACCTTTCTGCCCATGGGAAGGAATCATGGAAGTCAACAGGCATTCCTAGAGAGAGGTGGGAATGTTTGGTAACTCTTGTCCATGTTTTCAGCTGGGGAACTGTGCACTGTTCTACAGGCTAGCTCCTGCCAATGGTAAGATGTATGTGGATCCCATGCTGAACATAATTACTTATGACTGCTATCATGAGGAACCCTCCTCTAGGATGACAAGCCTATGGGCCAGAGTATCTTCCGTAATTGTGAACAAGGAGAAAGAAATGGATCGGAAGATCTTCTACCATTGACATGCTCTGGATCAGTGTTGTCTCCTGGCTGGAGTGTAGGAGCCATGGGACAGGGCATGTCAGCTTCTGCTGTACATCAAATACTCAGCACCTGCCCTGAGGCAGGAGCTCAGTAAACACCAGCATGTGGCCTTAGTAGATTATGAAAATGTCATACGTTCACTCAACAAACATTTCTTGAATATTTTGTGTCAGCTGCTACGCCAGGCACTGGAGACACATATATGATGACAGTGTAAGTCCTGTGGTCAAGACAAACAACTGGTAACATGGCTAGAGTCAGGAGCATTCAGTGTGAGTGAATAAGAGGGGTCTTGAAAAAGAAAAGCGAATTCTAAAGGAGAGAAAACAAATGCTCTCTGGACATCTGAGAACTGTTGGCAGTCATAATAGTTGGAGCATAGGAGAGGTGTAGGGTCCTGGCAGGAGCTAGCCTGGCCCACAGCCCGGTGAGAGCAAGGTCAGAGGCCAAACTGAACCTAACAGACCTGGTCCGTTTTCTAGGTTGGAGGGTAAACCCAGCCTCTTTTGCTCAGGTCTGGGGGTTGGGGGGATATGTGTCTAGCTTCTGTCTGGGTGCTTCCTCTGAGCTCTCTATTGGCTTTACTATGGAGCTATATAATCCTCTCACCTGACAAAAGGGCCTGATAATCTCTTAGTCTTGCTTTAGGGCAGAAGCAAGCAGAGCACAGAACAGCCACTATCCCTCCTCCCCCGGGACATATTCCCTTCCTCACCCCAGACATAACTCTCTGATGTCAAATTGTTCTCACTTGTTTGCTTTACTGAGAGTACCAGGGCCAAAGAGAACTGGCCCAGCTGGTCTTACTGGTTGGAGGGCTTCTGAGTCTCTCGTTTCACTGCTTTGCTGCCCACAGCATGGACACTGGCTGAGGAAGGACAGGCTTGTGCCTGACATCCTGCTATATCTCCTGCCTCTACCATGATGTTTTAACTATTGCATCCTTCCTCACTGCCGGGTCCTCTGTAGACAGGTAGTGCTGGAGTCAGGCAAATTGCATGTACCCATGGTCTTATGAGGAGAAGGACTCTTCTGGTTGCAAAGAACACTAATCTCCAGTATTATACAACAAAGAACCCCAACCTAGCTGTGTGTCCCAGAATGTTAGAACATATTTATTAGAGGATATTTCTACTTGTTATGGGATACACAAAGCACACTGGGCTTTGAGAGGATGTATTGCAAAGTGGAAGATAATTCTATACAATACCAGAATGTCCTATACAAAATGTCAACATCGGGGCTGGAAAGAAGGCTCAGTGGTTAAGAACACCACTGCTCTTCCAGAGGACCCAGGTTCAATTCCCAGCACCCACATGGTGGCTTACAACTGTCTGTAATTCTAGTTCCAAGGCATCTGACACTGTCACACAGACATACATGCAAGGAAAACCCCAATGGACATAAAAATTGTAAGAATAAAAACATTAAAAAAAAAAGAACTAACCATTACAAAATGTCAGCATCCCCCTGCCACATTCACACACTAAGAAACAGTACTTGGGGGCCCACATATTTCAAGGAAGAGTAATTTGAATAAACACTACAGATTGCTTAGTTATTGTTCTATTGCTTCCCAAACCTTATTGTGTAGATGAATCATCTGGGGACAGTGTGTTCTCATTCCCACTCAGTTTCCAATGGTTTCGTTCACAAATCACTATCTGTTAGGGCCACAGTTGTAGGGTGTGATCCTTGTTAAACTGCTGCCGTCTTCACTAGTTCAGGAGCGGCAGTGAGAGCCATGGGATCCCAGCTCCTCCTCCCAACCAGTTGGATACTGCTGAGATTGGGAGACCTCAGGCGAGATGAAAATTATAAATAATATAAAATATATTTGAGAGCAGTCTTGTTTCACAGCAAGATGGGAACTCCAGCCATGATTTGAACACGTATTATGGTCTAAGGCCTGAGTTACCTCTGAGCATCAGCAAATCAGCCACTTAGCGCTTGGAGGTACAAGTTCTTGGTCCTGGTGAATATAAACTGAGGCAGTAAACTTGGTCAGTTCGTCATAGGATGGTGGAATATTGGAGACCAGGCAAACTGTAAGGCTCACTGTTCAAGAAGCAGCATAGGGTTGAGGCCTCATACAGTTCATGGTGGAAAGCAGAAAGGCAAGACTGCATATGTTGGGTTGATGTGTGGGTCCCCTGTCTGTCTTGCCACAGGGCTAAGGCCTCTTGAGGGGACAGAGGCATGGGAAGTTGACTGTGCTCTCCCGACACCTCAGGGTTGGGGAGTGCAGTCTGAGGTCCCATGGGGAGCTAGAGCTCTTGGCTTGGGGGTCCTCAGGCCAAAAGGTAGCCAGGAACTGGCTAGTTCTCAGGCTGGTTCTCGAACACTGCTGGGGGGATGCAGAAGGGCCAAGAACGAAGTGGGGGTGTATGGGTTGGATTTGCCCACAGCAGAAGGGGAGATGGGGAGAGATGAGCTCTGGCTGCTTCCCACAGGGATGAGAGTCTCACTTGACTGTGTAGAGGCTGCTCGCTTGGCTTGGGTAGCTGGGTTGGTGGTCTCCATGCAGAGAGTTCTTCTGAGGGAGATTAGGCAGTGGCTTTGTGGATAAAGGCCTGCTCCGCTATTCCCCATGGCAGATTTTGAAAAAGAGAAAACAGTCCATGGTCTTAAGATGTTTATTGTCATGGCCGGAAGTAGATGAAAACTAACACCTCCCCCCTTTTTCCTGAGGACAGGCCTGAGGTTAAATACCTTTTGCAAGGAGGAGGGTCTGAGAAGGAATATTTAATTGGCTTCACCCCTCTGGCCTTTAGGTATCTCATTAATATGGAGATCTGTCTTAAGGCTCCATGGCCTGTAGTCATGCCCTCTACCTGTGGAGGGGCTGGGGGCATTGTCCTACATGACTGAAAGGCACATATCTATGGACATCTACAGTCTCATGTCAGAATCCTGGAATCTAGGAGCATGGTGAAATGCATGCTGTCCCTTAGGGTCACCTGTGTCCCGCCTGGGGCCCCCTCAGGATCACCTGGGGTCTCCGGCAGTTTTCAGCTGGTGCTCGACCAGAAACCAGGCTGTCCTTCACAGCCCTACAGGCATACATGCAAGAGAGAAAATGCAAGGGCAGCCTCACTTTCTAATCATTCCATCCTCGAAGCAACCAGTCTCCTGAAACCATGAGCTTGTTCACTACCTCAAGAATTAACTAGTCCTACATGGAAGGCATTAATTCCTTAAATGACACAACTACCTCACACAGGCCTATGAACTAAAGCTCACCCTGAAGAAGCCACATCCGAGCTAAAGATTGTGCAGTCTGACTGATTAGAACTTAATTATTGTGCAAAGGTAGAATGTTGTCATTCAAGAGCCAAATTATGTTGGGGTGTCTTTAGTCTCCTCAATAGCTATTTATCCCCGACCTCTGCTATCTGAGTTCATATTTGTGGCTATTAGCTAAAATTTTGGAATGTATCTACTTAGTAGACCACTGGCGCCCACCAACCCTAAAATTAACAGTGGTGAAATATAAAATATAAAATCTATAGGAGCCATCTTCCCTGAACTCTGCTGTAACTGAGTATCTTAGTCACATTCTAGTGCTGTGAAGAGACACCATGGCAACACAACTCTCATAAAAGAAAGCATTTAATTGGAGCTTACTTACAGTTTCAGAGGTTTAGTCCAATGTCATCATGGCTGGGAGCATTGTGGCACATAGGCAGACATGGTGCTGGAGAAGTGGCTTAGAGTTCTATATCCAGATCCACAGGTAGCAGGAAAAGAGAGACACACACTGAGCCTGGATTGGGCTTTTGCAACTTCAAAACTCAAGTGACACACTTCCTCCAACAAGGCCACACCTCCCAATCCTTCTCAAGCAGTGCTGCTCTCTGATGATTAAGCATTCAAATATATGAGCCCATAGGGGCCATTATTTTTCATGTGTACTGACTTTTTTTTTCAAATACTATGACCAGTATACTGTAAGACTCTAACGAGCAGAGCCTAAGTTTACCGGAGACCCCCTGAGAGAACCATGCAGACAGGAGAGATCGCTCAAAATGCAAGAGGAATTTTATTCCAACACATGGGATCACTTTACTCTCGCAGGAGGAAGGACCCTGAATTTCTGAAGCACACACCTTTTATACTTTAGCATAGGCAGACTTTAGCAACAGCAAAACTTGTTTAAACCTAATTGGACACTTTGCTTACCCTTTAAATTTATTGGCCACACTCACTCAGGCAGTTATTTCTGGTGGGCTATGTTTATCTAGGGCTATAGAGGACACAGCTGGTTACTAATCAGTACATTCTGTGGTTTTTCTCTGAATTGTTTTTATTTTTTTATTTTATTTTTTAAAACTTTCTCCCTGTTATCAGGAACATCCTGACCAGTGGGGTAGTTGTGTCTTTAATTCGTCCTTGGTCTCACAGTACTTTTGGCATTTTTCCATACTATTTCTTTTTTTTTTTCTTTTTTCTTTTTAAATTCACTTTACATCCCAATGACAGGGCCCCTCCCTCCTCTCTTCATAGTCCCACCCTTACAAATTCCTCCCCCCATTACCTCCTTCCCTTCTCCTCAGAGAAGAGGAGCCACACTTGGGCACCATTCCACCTTGGATCGTCTATTCCCAACAGGACTAAATACATCGCCTCTACTGAGGCCCAACCAGGCAATCCAGGTAGAAGGAAAGAGATCCAATGGCCAGGAACAGACACCAAGACAGCCCCTGCTCCACTTGTTAGGGGACCCACATGAAGACCGAGCTGCACATTTGCTATAAATGTGTAGGGGGGTCTAGGTCCAGCCTCTGCATGCTCCATGGTTAGCAGTCCATTCTCTGTGAGCCCCCATGGACCCAGGTTAGTTGACTCTGTGGATCTTCTTGTAGTGTCCTTGACCCCTCCGACTTGCTCACTTCTATTCCCCACTCTTCCACAAGACTCCCAGGGCTCGGCCTGTTGTCTGGCTGTGGGTCTCTTCATCTGCCTCCATCTGCTGCTGGATGAAGCCTTTCAGGACACAGTTATGCTAGGTTCCTGTCTGCAAGCATAGCAGGGTATCATTAATAGTGTCTATCTCGCCTGGCTACGGGAGGTGGCCACTTCAGTCTCTATAACCCCCTTTGGTAGGAATCTCAGCTAGGGTCACCCCTATAGACTCCCTGAATCCTCCCCAGCCTCAGGCCTCCAGCTGGTCACCAGAGATGCCCCTGCTGCTGATTTCCATTCTCACTCCTAGCCCTCTCTTGCTCCTCCTCCCCCCACACCTGGTCGCCATCTGTGTTAACTCCTCATCCCTTCTCCTACACAGTTCCCTCTCTTCATACACTTCTGATAACTATTTAGTTTCCCCTTCTGAGTGAGAGTCACACATTCTCCCTTGAGGTCTCCTTTATACCCAGTTTCTTTGGGTCTGTGGATTGTAGCATGGTTGTCCTGTACTTTATGGATAATGTCCACTTTTAAAAGAGTACATACATTTTAAATGAATAATGTGTCTTTCTGGCTCTGGGTTACTTCACTCAGAATGATACTCTCAAGTTCCATCCATTTGCCTGCAAAATTCATGATGTCTTTGTTTTTACTGGTTGAAGGGTATTCTACTCTGTAAATGTGCCACATTTTCATTATCCATTCTTCAGTTGAGAGACATCTAGGTCTGCCAGAAGCCAACCTGACTCCATTTTGCATTTAGACTCCATTTTAAAAAGAATAGTTTTAAGTTTTGTTTTCCCTCAGCTATTTCTGAAAACAGGTGGCCAATGGTCACTATGCCCTGAAGAAAGTGGTCACTGCACCAACCCCTCCCCTACCTGTATAAAGAGCCTAAGAAGATACAGTTTGTTGGTCTTTGATCAGAAAACTTGTCTTGGTCTCGTTCTTGCATCTCCTGTCTCTTCCATTCTCTCCCCCTTTCTCTCAGGGTACCCTGGTTGAAGACCCTACAGGCTGGGGCATAGGTCATTTCCAGCTTCTGGCTATTACAAATAAAGCTGCTATGAGCATAGTCCCTGTGGTATAGTAGGTCATCTTTTGGGTATATGCCCAGGAGTGGAATAGCTGGGTCTTGAGGTAGAACTATTCCCAGTTTTCTGAGAAAATGCCAAATTGATTTCCAAAGTGGCTGTACAAGTTTGCACTCCCACCAGCAATGGAGGAGTGTTCCCCGTGCTCCACTTCCTCACCAGCATGTATTGTCACTTGATAGCAATGTACAGATTCAATGCAATTCCTATCAAAATTCCAACACAATCTTTACAGATCTTGAAAGAGCAATTCTCAACTTCATATGGAAAACCAAAAAACTCAGGATAGCTAAAACAATCTTGAACAATAAAAGAATTTCTAGAGGTATCACCATTCTTGACCTCAAGTTATATACAGAGCAATAATAATAAAAACTGCATGTTAATGGTATAGGAACAGACAGGTTGGAATTGAATTGAAGACCCTAGAATAAACCCATACACCTATGGACACTTGATTTTGATGAAGAAGGCAAAAACCATACAATGGAAAAAAGAAAGCATAGTCAAAAAAATGGTGCTGGTCTGTGGGGAATGATTAGCTCATGTGTGGGCGTGTGTTCTTGAATCTCGTTGGGCTGTTGTGATTTCCATGGCTTCAAAGAGACTGGAACTCAGGAATCTTGACTGAGTTTATTCTGTTCACGGCACTGGGTGGGCGCTATGGGGCCCAGCCCAGCAGGGGGAGTTCTCACTCAGTCTGGTAGTTCCGTGGGGGCGAAGAGCTCTTGGATTGGGGGTCTCTGGGCCAGGAGGTGGCCTGGGACCGACTGGTCTCAAGCCCTTGGGCTCTCAGATGCCACTGAGAGGCCGAAAAAGGACTGAGACTGGGGGCGTGTGGGCATGAGACTGGCCAGCCCACAGCCAAGAGAAATGTGGGGGGGGGGGGAGAAAGAGGCCCCAACAGTGCCCTGTGGGAGAGATTTGGTTACTGTACTTGCTTAGCAGACTCGGCAGGCCCTGCTAGCATGCATGAAGATGCCGGTCCCTGTGGCTGGAACGCAGAGAGGTCCTCTAGATGAGAAGTTAGGTACAGCGGCTGCAGCTACAGTGGCTCATTAAAGGCCATCTCCACATATTCCCATGGCGGGCCCCAAAGACACGTGGAGTCCATGAGTTTAAGAGATTTATTTTCATGGCGGATGTAGATGGATCTTGCAGTACCCCCCCCCCAAAACCCAGGGGGAGCTGGTTTAAATACAGGAGGGGGAAGAGGGGTTGGGGAAAGGAATGACATAATTAGCTATGCTCCCTGGCCTCTAGATAACTCATGAATATGGAAATCTCTTGAGGCTAGGCTGAAGCCTGTTAGTCACGCCCTTGACCTGTAGCTGTAGATGGTGATGTGATGCAAACTTCTCTGGGAGGAGCTACTTTGAGCAAAACGTGTCTGCAAGGCGCAGGTTAATGGAGATGTGGGCCACATGTGGGAGGAGTCTGGAGTCTGGGGGGTGTGGGGAGATACATGCTGTCCCTCACAGGCCATGTCCCTGTTGGGTCTCTGGCTATCTCAAACTCTGTGCTCTACCCGGGAGACCAAACCATCCCTTTGCAGCCCCACACTGGTCTAACTGGATGTCTGCTGTAAGAGGAGGTGCTGATACTAAGGTCTAGTTCCATAACTAGTTCTTAACTTGTCACTAAAGAAGACTGGGAGCCAATTGTTGGGTAGAAAGTATTGGTGGGACTTCCAGGTCCCAAGAGGAGAAGGAGTCATGGGGAAGGAACGAGGGGCTTTTCTGCCATGCTTTGGAATGAGCAGTCAGCAATCATGTAAGGTCTCCAGGCCTGTGTCCTCCACTTTAGGTAGTTGCCAAGGATGTTGGCAGGGCTAGCTGACAAAAGCCACTAGGTTTAGGGTGGAGGGAAAGACAGAGATAATAAATTTGTAAGGGCACATCTTTCTAGGCAGGAGTCATCTGCTCCCAGAAATTGTGCCTATTAGACAAATTCTAAAGTAATAAAGCCGTCTATGTGTCTTTTATCCACGGATTCAAGGGTCTTGGGAGTAGGCTGGTAACATGACCTGGAGCAAAGGCAAGTAGAAAGGAAGCCAGGTTAGGGCTGGTGGTGGCCTATCCTGGAGCTAAGCTGGGAGTTGGAAGGGGCCAAAGCTCAAGCCTTGGTCCCAGGCAAAAGGCAGTGGCATATTTTTTTAAAACTACACCCAACAGTCTGCATGTAGAAGAATGAAAATAGACCCATATCTATCATCCTGCACAAAACTCAAGTCCAGGTGAATCAAAGACCTCAACATAAAACCAGATACCCTAAATCTAATAGAGGAGAAAGTGGGGAATAGCCTTGAACTCATTGGTACAGGAGACAACTTCCTGAATAGAACACCAATGACTTGGGCTCTAAGATCAACAATTGATAAATGGGACCTCATCAAACTGAAAAGTTTCTGTTAGGCAAAGGACACTGTCAATAGGGAAAAATGACAGCATACAGATTAGGAAAAGATCTTCACTAACCCTACATCCAACAGAAGGCTAATATCCAAAATATATAAAGAATTCAAGAAATAACCTGAGTTTTTTGTTTTTCCATACAAATCTTGGACACCAAAAGTATAAACAATCCAACCTAAAAACGAGGAAGAGAGCTAAACAGAGAATTCTCAACAGAGGAATCTGGTATATCTGAGAAGCACTTAAAGAAATGTTCAGCATCC